AATAATACACAATAACTAATTAACTAACATTTAAATTAAATGAAATTCAAATAATTCACAATAACAATTCACACTAAAGTAATGTTGCAATCCTAACTTAAATCATTATAAATTATTAATTAGGCATCAACAATAATTGCTAATAAAAAAACCTAATAATATTATAAACCCATTTCAATTAACTAATATTTAAAATTAACTAATATTATCAATTCAAATCCTAAATTAACGGTATTACCAATAATAGAAAAAGTAATATACATTTCGAAACGTATTTCAAATATATGCACAATAAATTATGACATCACTACGTTTATGGTTGAATTTATTGTTAATTGATTAACAACCTCACTAATTTAAAATTTTTAATTATTTAAAACGCAAAAAGTAATACCTATTAAAAACGATACATAATTCAAATGACATACCTTATCTGCATAAACAGAAAAATGACATAAGATAGATTACATCCTTCAATCTTTCAACAGATACTGTATTGTACTCTGATTGATTTTTAACTGGTATGAGTCCAATGGAACTGGTCTGCCATATATAAAAAAAATTGTTACGGATTTTGTCATAGATCAGGCCATGACAAAGACTTTTCTGTACATCTTTAATACCGTGACCGTCGAAAATTCAATAATTCAGCTATGTCACGAATGTTCTCACGGATCCGTTCGTGACAAACACTTTTCCAGCTTTGTCACGGATTTTGTCACGGATCCAGCCATGACAAAGTGTCCGGAATTTAAAAAAATTTGGCCGGAGTAAATTGTCGGTCGCCGGAAGCCTTTTGTCACGGATGGAATCCGTGACAAAACTGTTGCACGGATTTTGTCACGGATAAATCCGTGACAAATTTTCTTAGTGACAAATCAGACATTTCCGTGACAAAGGTCGTGACAAGTTTGTCACGGCCCAAATCCGTGACAAAGATCCATGACAAAATGGGTGTTTTGTTGTAGTGCGTCGCTTCTACGCAGCCTGTCCAGAGTAGCGCCTAACCCTAGGTCCGTCCGCTATTTTGAGCTTGACCTGATGATAATGATATGCTCCCATCCAATTTAATTATTACTCACATATAGATAAAATTTTCATAAAAAATGAAAGTTTTTTGGGGAAGTAAAAAAATAAAAGTTGAAATTGGCAAGTGCACATGTCAGATTTTCACCTCTCCCGCTCAGACCACGCTCAAACAGCACACAACCAAGCACCACCGGAAGGGACACTCACACTTAGGCCAGCCCAACCATCTCAACGCACACCATGGTTAGAAAGAGGAAGCTCAGAGAGAATAACACAGAGGGACCAAAGGAGAAGAGACAGAAAGTCTCTCTCTCGTTCTCTCTAACCTCACTCTCTCTCTAACTGAAGACTTCACCTCGCTCAAGAGGAAGAAAGGGGGCTTAAGTACCAAGGGCGGCAAGAGAACCCTAATAGAGGGTTCCAGAAACAGGGCTAGTGAGAAACAACATGAGTCGGTGATAAGAGGCAAGCAAACATGCCCAAACAACCCTAAGCAAATATTGCCAAGACTTTATGAGTCAATACGTCCACACTCTCCACCTTATTGGCCATCATCGGTGGTGCAATGTATCACAAAATAACATAAGCACGTGGTTCATCATCGCTCGATCAGCAGTGATATCCTAAAGACAACGATTTTGAAGCTCTAAATTTTACATCGGATAATTCTATTTACAAACTCCTCATATTACTATTCATAGCCACTAAATTAAATATTAATTAAAATTAATTCTAATGTCTAAATGACCCTTAGAGTTAGTCAAATAAACTACGCTGTCATTGAAATAGCAAACCCAAGTTATATGAATGGGCCCCATATGACTTGGGGTCTGTTCATATAACTTGGCCATAACTCATACGAACGGTCCTATCATAAGATCCACCTCTTATGCCTTTGTCTTCTTCTTCTTCTCTTCCGGCCAGTTCCATCTCTTCCTGTTTAACATAATTTTTCTCTTTTTTCAATTGTCAGATTCATCCCGCATAAATTTGTGTGCTGTTTTGTTGCTCAAAGTTGTATTAGACAGGAATCACAAAGTCTGCACCATGTACTAAGCAATTCAACCCTCAATCAAAACAGTCCAGAATGAGCATTGACCTTCCGTTGACTGCACAACTGAGGATATCAACTTCATCGCTTGCCCCCTAAATCTTCATTCTCTCTTTTATTTCTATGTTGCAGATGAAGCCGGGTAGACAGAAGGCATCAAGCACTCGAGCCCATATGTAGCTCTGTTTTTTAGTTCGCACCTATTGTATATGAGAACTGAAATCTGGAAATGAAATTTTCCAAATTATGGCGCAAATTTTAGAAACTAGGGTGCAAAATCGACCAGATTGTTCATTTTTCATTGAGGGTTGGTGTAGATTATTCCATGGAAAATTTTCGTTGAAGGAGTTTAATTTTCTGTGGGGGAGCGCACGAACATGTTCTCTGCTTTGTGACGTTAGTTCTTGATGAACTCCACATTAGTATTTAGGAAAATGGTGAGTGTGATTAGAATTTCCCATTTTACACCCATATCCATCATTTATGGATTACGATGTTTTTGCTTGGACTTAATTTGATGGTCTGGTCTGATCTGGTTTGGTCTGGTCTGAACTGGTCTGGTTTGGTCTGGTTTCTTTGTATTTTTATAACTATCCAAGTCCGATCTGAACTGATCTGATCTGATCTGGTCTGATCTGATGTGGTCTGGTCTGGGACGAATTACAATCCAAGTAAAAACATCCTTAGTAGACATTTAGCCGGTCATTACTTTGTTGGGCCAAACAACGACTAAAATGACTATAGAGTTGGGTCAATAAGATTGTGTATGCTTTTTGGAAATATAGAGAATATGTAAAAAGAATGAATTTATGAACAAAAACAACACAAATCATCAAAAGGCATAATAAGTAAGGATGTTTTTACTTGGACTGTAATTCGTCCCAGACCAGACCAGACCAGACCAGTACAGATCAGACCAAACCAGACCAGACTTGGATAGTTATAAAAATACAAAGAAACCAGACCAGACTAGACCAGACAGAACCAGTTCAGACCAGACCAGACCAGCAAATTACAATCCAAGTAAAAACATCCTAACAAGAAAGTCGTTCAACATACTAGTAAAACATATACTTTGTACGTGATATACAAAGTCTTAAATCATGACCTAATACATTTTTTAAAATTATGATTTATTTAGTCTTATTGAAACAATTTTTTTGAAACAAAGTCTTATTAAAAAAATTAAAAGATACTCCGTAATTTTTATCCTATACACAGTATACGTACTAATGTACATGAGTCCTATATATAGAATACAAGAGTGTAGTTATAAATGAGATACTCGAAAGTTTCTTTTTTTGAAAAGAAATATTTTAAAGTTATAATACAATTGTAATTATATAATTCATAAAATCGTTGAACTTTTTAATTATCTGTCTTCTTTAAAAATATACAGAATATGAATGGCATTGAACATGTACGAGATAAGGCGTGTTTGGAAAATGTTGTTCAGCCAAAAATGGCGATTCTCCTTTTAGCGTATTCAATAAATGAAAACACTATTTGATAAGTAGCTACTCGGCACTAGCATTTTTGAAAGGAACCGCTGAAATGGAAACGTTACAAATATGAGAGTTTTGGGTTAGCGTTTAAAATATAGCGTATTATACTATTTTTCGGACAAACAACTAAATTATACATCCCGTCAAGTTAATTATTCCGCTAGTAAAACTCGCTTACTGAATTCGCTATTAACAACCCGCTAACATAATTGTTATGCGCTAACCGCTAACCTCTAAATGCCAAACACACTCATTGCCGTTTGTCGTGACGTTAAAAAAGAATTGCTTTTTCAATAGTTGTTGTTTGCAGGGTTACAAACCAAAAATGATTGAACTTTTTAATGGTATATGGCGACAATGAAAGTAAAAATGAGATCACTAACGTTGATACAAAGCGGTTTTTCATAGTTTACATAATGTATATGTCATTGTTCCGTAATACCTATTTCGTTCTCTTTTAATTGCAACAATTCACTTTTCACGTTTTTCGGTACATAAGTTTGACCTTTAATATCTTCAATGCTTATTAGTAATAAAATTATGTTGAGATAATTGTGGAGATAAAATAGTAGAATAACAAGAGAGAGCTGGTACATAAGTTTGACCTTTAATGTCTAGATTCAATGCTTATTGGTTATCTCACATAACAACGAGAGAGAGCTATGGCTAGTACAATACGGATGGTGGCCGGTTTAGTGATCGGACTGAATGTTTCGGCATAGTCACGACCAGCCTGTTGCAAAAATCCACAAGCAACAAGTCATGCCTTGTATCATGCAATACTACCATCAGCGTTCCGTTTGATACAAAAGAGCCATTTACATGTGATGGGTGTGTGAGCAGCACGATGAACTAGTGTCCAGGTATGATTACGGTGTAGAGCCTCCATTTCTTCTTGCATGGCCTGACACCACTTAGGATCTGCTAAGGCTTCTTTCACACTCGATGGTTCCATGGCAGGTAATATAGGATGAATTGTGGTGTGGTTGACAAACTGACTCCCAAGTGATTTTGTGAGTATGCCAACTTGGTTATTTCCACACACAATTGTGGAGATAAAATAGTAGAATAACAATCTAGCTATCTCACTCTCCTTAGTTGTTATGTGATAACCAAGGAGCCACATATGTGTGTGTTAATCCAGTCTTACATTCCCGCATGAAACATGTTGCTCTTGATTTCTTCTTTGTTCGTGATTTGGTTGAATCTAGACAACTTTCAGTTCGTCACATTTCCAACAGGTTTCAAATAGACGGCATACTCACAAAACCGCTTGGTAAAGTTCCATTTGAAAGGTTTCGGTCCAAGCTGGGTGTTTCCGACGGAAGCTCAATCTTGCGGGGCCGTATTGAAGCAACGTTATTATTAATTATTATTATTAATTATTAATTATTATTCCTATTATTATGTACATACGGTTAGCTAGATTGTTATTCTACTATTTTATCTCCACAATTGTAGATAGTGATAATTATCTCATTCGCTATCACAATAGCTCCTACGTGTATATAAACATCATCTTGCATATTGTATTCAATGGAGATCAATACAATTATTCATACCTTACATATTAAGACTTGGGGTTCCATCCTAAAAGGTCAACCTGTTAGGAGGAGTAGTCCAAGGCTTTATATGTTGGTTTGTATTTCTATACACAACCGGTGTGGGACAGCTTAATACGCCCCCGCAAGATGGTGGCGCGTTGGATCAGACTAATCTTGTAGTCCGTGTGCTCGTTATTAAGGCTTAACAGGATCTAATTACTCGTTGGAGCTTAATTTGCTCTGATACGATATTAAGACTTGGGGTTCCATTCCAAAAGGTCAACATGTTAGGAGGAGTAGCCCAAGGCTTTATATGGTGGTATGTATTTCTATACACAACCGATGTCAGACAGCTTAATAGATGGTCCGTAAGGAACGTTGAGCCCGTGTAGCAATCCTTCTTCTGATCATTCACATCTGCTTCTTCATCCGTGGAAACCGTCATAGACTTCTTCCTCGATGACTTGTTCTTGAGTGGTTCCATTAATGCCTCGCCCCCCATCAAGATCTTTTTATGCTCTCTCTCCGCAGAAGGACTCCTCCACAGCTTGTGGCCGGACGAAAAAGTTAATTACCTAAACATGCGGCGGCCAGAGAACTTTATTTCGTGCGATGATGGATCTAATATGTATATCACCTACTCGGGAGAACTTTATTCCGTCTGATGATGGATCTAGATTTATATCACGTACTCTACCCTTACCAGTATATATTGACGTACTATAAACTCATTTCGAATGGGATTGGGGTTTTCTTTTGGAAACGAGTGGGATTGTGTGTGTACTATAAACTCATTCCGAATGGGATAGGGGTTTTGGGTTTTTTTTTTGGAAAGGAGTGAGATTTGATTTAGAAAAAAAGGGGTTTTCCCAATTAAATGAAACGTCGCAAGAATATAAGTATAACTACACTTTAATCGTTAGTATAGTCTATAGGAGTATAACTTTGAAATTTCCTAAATAATACCAGCTTTCTAATTTTACCATAACTTTGTTTTAATACAATTCGGATTCCTTTAATAATCAAAACATAATAACTGTTTTTATAATAAAAATGTAAAAAAAACTGAAAATAAATATTAAATAAAATTATTTAAAATAAAAAATTAGAAAAATAAAAAATTCTAAATTTTTAACTTAAAAAATTTTAAAAAATATATAAAAAATAAGAATTAAAGAGAATATGCATGCCTCTCCTTCCACCTCAACAACATGACATTTTCACCGAAAAAGTAGGAACTTTTACACAAAATAACATTTTTCTTGCCAATCGTAGGTGACATTGTTGGGAAGTATGCCATATTTTTCTTATCATAGTAGTACAGTACCTGTGCACCCGCACGAGTTGCAAATGTTTTGTATGTAAACTATATGGAGTAATTGATTGTAAATTAGTCTTTTTACATATAAAACAAAGTCTTTCAATGTTTAATACAAAAAATATGGGATGATCACACTGAATATTATTATATAAATGTGAAGTTTCAGTAAGAACTAAACTATAAATTGAGTACAATGGTTAAATTATAATTTTTTTCAAATGATAATAAATAGAGATTCAAAAAGTTGAAGAACCCACTTTGGAGATCCAAACTTAAAAGAAAAAAATAGAAATAATTGCTCATAAAATGGTATGTCGATTTTGCCAAACACATTGTGGTTCGATGACATTGCTTTGATACTCCCATGGAGGAGGTCATAGGTTTAAAACTCATCCCAGTAAAGGATGTTGACATTTAACAGAACATGTACTATAATATGTGAGAAAGTACACCAAAAAAATAGTTGACCACAAAATAAAATTACTCCATTTGAGGTTATAAAATACTCACAAAAGGAATTACATATAGATGACATGGAGCGTGATTTTGAATTAGTATAATACGGAGTATTATGGAAGTTAAATATTTTTACTTAGCTTTTACGGAAGTATTTTAACAAAGAATAGTTTCATATCAATTTTATATGACAAATAACTATAATAAAATATATAACTGGTCAAAGTTTTAAAGATGAAAATGCTTTTCGGGACGAAGGTAGTAGGAAAGTGTTAGACTCATTTTATTATATTTCGACTCTCAACTCCTCTCCAGTGTGGTGTTAGTGTCGACTTTCTTGATTTGCTTTCATTTCCTCATGCTTTCTTTGCGTTCAAATGCGATATGTTGATGCTCACCAGTCCACTTATGTTTTGGAATCCGCTTGTTTCATGGATTTCATCTTCTAATTTATTACATTTGTACTGTCAACTCCTCTCCAATGTGTTGTTAGTGCCGACTTTTGTGATTTTCTTTCATTTTCTCATGCTTTCTTTTGCGTTAAAATCTGATGTGTAAAATATTAAGACAAAATATTTAGTATTTTCCTAAGTAACAACACCAAATAAAGTATTAAGACAAAATACATAATAATTTAGCATGCTAAAATATTGGATTTAATTTACTATAACAATGATGTTTAAATAAATAAAGAGAGATCACCTAAACCTTCTTTTCTATTTATTGTTATTGTATAGAGCATCATCCAATGTGAATGTTTAAATTAGATTAAACACAATCCTAATAGAGTGCTCAATTAGTTGTGTATTTAAAGAATATAATACTCTGTAGTATATATTTCAAAGGAAGCGGGAGATAATGAAATACAAAATGTGACCCGGTCTGCAAACCTTTTTGAGCATGTATATTACCTTCTACTTTAGAGTTTCTAAGAGAGTAGGAAATTAGATTCAAAACAATGATTTTGAATTCCCATATTTTATTTGCAAACTTTGAATCCATAGGTTTTACTTGTGTTCAAATAATTACAGGTGCCCAATAATAATGAAAACCCAATGTAAAGTCTTTTATAGGTATATATATTAAGCAAACCGACATATTGAACTTTATAGAGGACCTAATACATACCATGTTTTGTTGCCACAAAATACTCAAGGTCGGAACATGCATTCCAATATAGTGGACTTAATGTTTGAAAAAACTATAAATTCAATAACCAGGCACTAACCGGTGTAAAATACATACCGATTCTTTTAGTTGATCCCTTGCTTATCTTTTTCCTACTTTCTTATTCTTCTTCATTTGTAGGCAAAAAGAGTTGAAAAAGGCTTTTTACTAAAGCATTGAAGTAAAAAATCAGTCCATTTAAAATTGGCAGTTCTTAAAAAAAACTAAAGAATCAGTTGAAACAAAAAAAACTTTTAAGCAGAGTATCTTTTTCTCTGTTTTTAAGAAGTGGTTCTCTATTTCATCTTTTCATATAGGAAAAGAACTGTCAAGAAAACATAACTTTCTCATACGGCTAAATTATTGATTGGTTAAAACTGTTTTAAGCATATACAATATATACATATTGATTCTTTTAGTTAGTCCCTTGCTTCTCTTTTTCCTACTTTCATATTCTTTTTCATTTCTAGGCTAGATATGAAAACAGCTTTTTACTAAAGCAATAAACTAAAGAATCAATCCAAACAAAATAGGCATTTTTTAACCTAAACTAAAGAATCAGTTGAAAAAAAAAAGAGCTTTTAAGCAAAGCAATATATTTTTCTCATGAGAAGTACTCAAACAAACTGCTGAGAAGTGGTTCTCTATTTCATATTTTCACATAGAAAAAGAATTGTCAAGAAAAAAAAGAACATATCTTTCATGTATGGCTATATTTATGAATTTGATGAGCACTTTGTCACGGTGCGTCAAAATAAATTCAATACTAAACACTTATACGTAGTATAGGTGAAGTAGAGTTCGTATCCACAGGGAAAGGGATAATTCTCTTTTTATGAAACTAGTAATAAAAAGGGGGGTTTTGGTTTTGAGTGATTTGATTCAATTAAGAAACTAAGATGAACAACCTATATGTGTTTAATTCAAGAATAAAAGGGACTTGGCTTTGCTACTTTCCACTTGTTGATATATTTTAGTCGATCCTTGTTATATCTATAACTTATCCCCTCTCGAATACTCAATCGAGGAGTATCTCCAATTCATCGAGGGTAGTTATTAACAACGACCGTTCATTAATAACCCTTACTATTAATCAAATATAGAACAACGCCGTATACCGATATAATAGTAGCATTCAATCCTTTTAACTCCTTGATGAAATCAATTGAGATTGATAACCTTAACACAACGGTTTCGGTTTAACCAACAAAATTGATCCCTCTTAAGTCTATTAACCACGACTGTGCATTAATAAATCGAAGTTACTTACTTGTCACTAGTAGAAAAAGGGTCTATAGTGACACTAATTTAGTGTCGCTGAAACTTTCTGCGACACTTAAAAAGCGTCGAGGAAAGTGGGGGCTAGCGACACTAAATATAGTGTCACTGATGCGAGGACGGTTTTGTGTCAACAAATTATGACACTAATGTATCTCCTAAAATATCGACATTTAAGAATCAAGGACACATTGTGACGTTAATACATCACAAAATTTAATGACACTTGAGCATCATAGATTTTAATGACACCTCAGCATCATAAACACTATGAAAACGCACATGATATATTGATTACAATATATATATATATATATAATATAATATAATACTAATAAATAACCATAATATCAAAGTTTTTTATTTATATCTCAAATTCTCACATAAATGTGAATGTACATAGTACATAATTCATAGGGGCATCCCCAAAACAATAAATATCACAAAAGAACAAAACGCTGACTAATCCAACTTTTACACCATGCTTCACAAGGCGTTCACATTCTTCTTATATGTAGACATCACATTTTCTTCTACACAAAATGAAGCCATCATTCTTATACTGCCAACGCCACTAGGAAACATTAGCAGTTGCACTGAATCCCTTGTTATACACTTATACTTATTCCTGAGAATAAGGCTTTTTCTTAAGACTGGCCCTCTTGTTTTGGTGCGACCAGACCATGTACATCTCCTGTCAAGGCAAAGTTATGTAGCATAAAATTAGTCTAAATGAAGATTAATCAAGAATAAATGATAATAAATGTTTATTAAAATTGGAAGCAAATGGATATGAGTGATACCAGCAGCGGACAATCTCTTAAGATGGACACCAGCTGAGTCCTTTAATATAGTTGCAAATTATTAACAATTGATCATCAGATGCATGGATGATCTAGAGATTAGCTGACCAAAAGATGGACCAGTGACCCCACAAGTTTATCCCATGAACAAAAAAACTAGTAGGTCTTTAGACTACTATCAACTAACCACAAAAGAGATAAAATACCTGCAAATTGAAGGCAAGATAACCACCTCGGAAATCAGAATGCACAGTATGGTCATTGACACTGGATATAAAAGCAGAGAAAATTAATTACTCTGTGCTACTATCTGTCATACTATCGTTTGAGATAAAATTGTGTGGCTTAGGAAGATAGGCTACATAAACTCTGTTTCGGAAAGGGCTCATACGTGTACAAGATCATGTAGGAGAAAAACAAAAACAAAAATGCTACTGCAGGATATGACAAGCCTGTATTTAGTCTCAAGCCACAGTTATAATCAACTAGCCTGAATCAATTATAGATTTCATATTGAAAAGGGTCAGGCTATCCTCATAATTCTTAAAAGGCATCCAAAAATGAGTTCCATAATTCCATGATCCTTGTACTCACCTAAAATCCCGTATTTGCAATTCGTAAATACTGATGTCAGATGTGGAAAGCACATCTGGTTTCTCATTCCCCAGATTATCCCATCCTTCAGGCTTTAAATAATCACACTCAAGATCAACTAACAATGTAACAAGACAGTATAAGAAAATTGATAACAGTTTTAACATATATATCAACACACTTATTAAACAAAGACACCAGTATACCCTCTTGAGTACGGATCACAAGTTAGTGGTTTCTCAATCCGCAAGGTAGTGTGATGATAGACAGAGACTTTCGTATGCATAGTACTCCATAATAAAGAGTGACAAAAGCAATGTAAAAAACATGGGGAAAGACAAAAAATGAATAGTCTGTACTGTTGCAGATGGTGCCCAGAGGTAAAGAGAAATTGCTTGACATGAAAAAACAGCACCAAGTGGACCAGTGTAGGAGAATAATTCATCTATGATACCAGGTAGCTGCAATCCAGTAGCACACTTGCATTTTCCATCAGCTACATCGGTGCAATCTGCCCCATGTCAGTGTAATAGATAAAGATTCATTCAAATAGAATAAGTGTCTCGAGAAAAACCAATAAATATTTTCGAAATATATTAATAACTATAATAATACAAATATACAATGAAAATGCCTTTACCTGGACTGCTGGAGAGTGGAGAAGATGCCTTTACCTGGACTGCTGGACTGCTGAATTGAAACCTAGGAATCCACTCTATGTTTGAAAATTATAAGTAGATTAAAAGTAAATGAGTAGAATGTGCTTTTCATCATAATTGATGGCTAAAGCTAGAGATATAACAATAATACATCGAAGAGAAAACACAAATCAAACAACATTAACAATAATCAAAACTTGCACATTCAAAATCAAAGTAGCTACAAAGAGGAAAGAATTGTACAGTTTGTGAAATTGGTCGGACAAGTTGGTTTATTTGTTCATCTAAGGATTGTTCATTTAAGGGGAATTACTATTTTATAATAGCATTGCAAACTTGCAGCGGGATGATAGATATTACAAGCTCATACAAGTAAATAAGTAGATAGGCAGATAGTAATATTAATAAACAAGTAAATAAAGATTGTTAAATTCGTATACTATTTTTAAATACTAAAACATCAAAATCAGAAAATTATATAACTCAAAAAAGTTAACCTCAACAGTTAAGGCTCAACGTAACCTAAAGGCCTGAACAAGTAAACAATTAAATAATTAAAACAAAGAAGTTCAATAGTGAGAATTTTACCGGAAGCTCATAGCCTGAAGCGTGGAAGTGTCTAGTGAATCTGGAAGACCGAAACACCTTCACCAAAGGATGTATCAAAGATTTTGTATAAATCAAAAGTACAAAAACGTAATTCTATTTTTAAAACCTACACTTCCACCTCAAAGTAACAAAGAACTACAGTTCCTTAATCGCAACTTATTTGACCTTAACTTCCACTATAGAAAATAGATAAAACTAAACTATCAATATATAGATTAGGATAAATAGATCTAGTATGCAATCATTTCAAGATAATTCAAAAGGCAAAAATGGGAAGAAGATCACAAGAGGTATTCAATTATTCACGACAACTCCCAAAAGAAAAAGAAAAAACACCCAAAAATGAGTAAGGACTAAGCATTATTTCAACACACAAGCTATGGAATTAAACAAAGGTAGGAAAGGAGTATGTGTATGCATAGTAGATTAAAATATTTCCAGGTTTACAAAGGCAGAAAGTCACCTTAATCTAATGTGACTCGAGAAAACTATAAATCTTAAGAGACTAATGGCAATTTCATTTCCCATTTTATAATATCAACTAACACCACATTAGCAAACAAACACTGTTTCAGTTCTCAAATTAAAAAACAACATAACAATGGAGATAAGGGGAAAAGAGAAATCTATTACAGAGCTTCTAAAACAAACAAAACAAAGACATAGAGAAGCAGAAAGCCCTAGGCTGAAGCCTAAAAGACAGAAGAATAGCAAAACCGCAATTAAAGAAACTTCCATTAATAAACCAATCCAAAACTGACGATCAATTCTCTGCACATCAAGTATGGTTTAGCCATATTTAACACATTATTGCAATGGAATGAAGTGAAAAACAATCAACCTGGACAATTTGTGAAGCCTTCTTCGTCTGACAAACAAATTTCTGGAAATGCTAGCTTCTATTCTTCGCCAGACACACAAAATATGGAAAGCATAACGAACTTAATTTTCTTCCAATATTCCGTCTGAACACAGCTTCCAATTCGTTCCTAGATCGCAGAGTATTAACAAAGGCCTTACGAATCTGCTACCATCGCAGATTCGAATTCATGTTATGTTCCTCTGCAGGCCGTTTCTTAGATAGACGACATCGGAGACGGCTCAGTATCAGTTGGATGGGTACACATGTCTCCATTGATGTCGCTGCAGCGGATATGGCTCTGCTAGCCATCAAGACGCTCCTTCAGTTCGAATCTGGCAGCAGCGCTCCGCCGATGAGTAGGAGAAGTGTTTGGTCTGCTATTGTTTCTTGAGAAGATATCGCCTCTGCTGATTCCTGATATGTCCGTCGAGAGTCCACTGCACTATGTCATCCGCTCAAGAGGAATACCTAGCGAGAAGAAGGAGTAAGGCGGCCAGGCGTAGTAAGGCGACAGAGTATGCAGACGGAGTAAATCGATCTGTAGCTAGGGTTCGTGCTCTCTGAAGAGGAAGAATCGATCGGTTAATTGCAAAGGATATTTTAGCATAAGTGGAAAATGTGGATATGAAAAAAGCCAAATGTTATGGGAAAAAGCAAGTGTTAGAGCTATGTTAAAAGTTAAATAGGGAACACCTGACCGGCCCACTAAGTGGAATAGTTCCGATTCGAATAAAAACTCCTGTAATCGTCACTATTCGTTAGTGATGATTTTGAGTTAAAAATTAGCGACACTTCTAAGTCATAAATGATATTCTGACAAAAAAGTGTCACTATAAAAGTGTCACTGTAAGCCTGTTTTTTACTAGTGTGTGAAACCACCAACGATTAATCATCGGATCGTTGATCGTTTCTAGTAATAATTAGTGTAGGAACGTTAACTAATCGTCACTTAGCAACCCTCCAACATTAATATAGAATGAGATTAAGGGAAGAATTAATAATCAAGAGAAGAAGTTAAGAAAATAACTCACAACTTTAATAATCAACAAGCTTCAAGAGCAAAACCAAGAATGGAAGTTTAGCTCCTCATTTGGAGACTAAACATAGCTAGAAAAATATAAAGAAATGATATTCTAAACTGAGCTTAAGAGTATGGAAGAAGGAATGATTTTTTGTGAAGAAAAAGTGTGCTATTTATAGGTGTTTTTCAACACCTTTGGCCGGGTACCCGACCGGGTTTAGTGCTTACCCGACCGGGTACCGGTCAAAATCAGATTATCTCCCACGTTTTTGTGTTTCAGCACGTTAAAATGTCCCGGGTCAAGTCAGACCCGACCGGGTCAAGTAAGGGACCCGACCGGGTTTGGTCTAAATCAGATTTTTCCAAATCTTTGTGATCTTCAGCATGTTCTGGTGTTCCGGGTCATATCTGACCCGACCGGGTCGAGAAAGGGACCCGACCGGGTCTTACTTTTTCTTCTTAGATCCGGTCTTCAACTGACCCGACCGGGTTCAAGATCTGACCCGGTCGGGTTTTTGTGCTCCTGGGTATTTTTGTCTTCAGCTTTTCTCCCCTTTTCCTTGCTACAAACTCTATCACTATTCTATAACTACGAAAAGAAGGAGAAAACAATTACAAACAAAATAAAACAAGTACTTACAAACTAACTAAAAGCGATGGAAAATTCACACCCAATCAACATAAAAACATACATTTGTGCACTATAAACTAGTGCATATCAGAATTCCCATAACTGGTTTAGGAATATACAATATACATACTGATTCTTTTAGTTAGTCTCTCGCTTCTCTTTTTCCTAGTTTCTCATTCTTCTTCATTTATAGGCTACATATGAAAAAAGCTTTTTATTACAGCAATAAACTAAAGAATCAGTACAAATAAAATAGGTAGTTTTTAAACATAAACTAAAGAAGCAATATCTTTTTCTCCGTTTTTGAGTGCTCACACAAAGTTGTTGAGAAGTGGTTCTCTATTTCATACTTTCATATAACAATCCCCTTAGACTATGCAAAAGAACTAAAACCATTGGTTAGTTAATCTATTTGTCGTATGTATATTGAAGCCTAGTAGATCTAAATCCCCTTCTCTACTCTTATAGTTAGCCCCTTAGTACTTTTTCCTACTTTCTTATTCTTCTTTATGTCTAGAACTGAAAATATAGTAGTATTTAAAAATCAGAACATAAAGTTTGTTCTTTTTCTTATATTGCAATTCCTTTTGATTTTAATATTAGTTTCTTCTTCATTTATAGGCTACATATGAAAAAGGCTTTTTATCAAAGTAATAAACTAAAGAATCAGTCCAAACAAAATAGGCAGTTTTTAAACATAAACTAAAGAAGCAATATCTTTTTCTCATTTTTTGAGGAGTACCACACTTGCTGAGAAGTGGTTCTCTATTTCATATTTTCATATAGGAAAAGAACCGTGATGTGAGTTTTCTCGCACTTAAAAAGGTTGTAGAAAAGTGGTTGAAGTACGAGTATCGTCTCCACATGGACGGACAAAAGGGAGTTAAGGTTTAACTAAATTCAGTGATTAAAAAGAAAATAAATAAAAATAAATGTGATGTGCGAGATTGGTTGAATGAGTTAAAACTAAAACTAATGCGGATGAGCGAATCAAAAAATTGGTTACTTCTTAATTAACGATGAAAGGAGCAGGGATTGATTCCGGGGTAACCGGATTTCTGGCTAATCAGGCTTAATTACATGAAATTAATTTAATTGAGCCTAGCTATTCAATACTAAGTTCTTACCGCTCTCGCGGCGTAGAGTAAAATAATTTAGGAGACCAGGCTGATCTCTCATGCGACATGTTCCTAAATTATTGCCAAGACGAGCGAGCTTATGGCCCCTTAATTACTACTAATCTCTTAGCGAACGATTAAGTGTGTGTGAGGGTGTCTTAGAATAAACTAGATCTCTCTTAATTTATTCTACAAACAATTGTAATTCTAGCCGCAGTTCTAGGTTACAAGAGATATCAGTTAAATCATTCAAACACAAATTAAACGGAATTCATGTAATTTAAACCATCAAGAAACTAGCATACATCGTGATTAACACCTTCATCAATCCCAAATCCCTGATTAAAACTACTGTCGACTCATAATTGAAGAATCAACAGAATTGGGATGAATAGAAATAATTGTCATTAATTAAAAAGATGAACTTACAAATAATCCTAGGGTTCTTGAAGAAAACAACGTAAAAACTCAGGTAAATTCGTCCCTAGGCCTCTCCGTAATGTTCGTAACCCCCACAAACGGGATATGGAGGCCTTATTTATAGAAAATAACGAATTCAGGTTGAATTAGGACTGAAATGAGGCACGCACAGCGCCCATGCACGGCGTGTGTGGCGTTTGTGCGTCCGACAGACCCGGGCGTTAAAACGTGCCACGCACGGCCATGCGTGGCTGCCAGTGGGTTTTTCGGCTTCTCGCCTCGGATGCACGGTGTGTGTACCCAGACACACGACCGTGCGTCCGTCTTTAAAATTCTTGGCCACTACATCCATGCATGCACGCGTGCGTGGCCCTTTTTCTTACGATTTCTTCGGTTTCTTCCACTTCAAGTCCCTGTTGGCCCCGCGATCAATTCAAAAGCTCTTTCTTCATCAAATTTTTATCGTGAACCTCCCGGTGGCCTTCGAAACTTTGAATTCACTCTCGAATTCTTCTTAACTCATCCTGGTCACTTCTCAAGCGCTGATCTCGGGTCCTAAAAGACCTGATTTCAACTCTAAAAATACCAAAACTCGTTCCATCACCCGGCTAACGTGACTTGAGCTAAAATTGAGACCTACAACTCTTAAAGCTAGGGGGTAACCAATGCAGAACTTTATGAAAAAACACTATAAAACTATAAGTGATACCCTTGAAAACGGATACAAATTAAAATGAAAAGAAGAAATTACATGATTATCTATCTTATTTAACATGGGATTCATTAAACAAGCACAAACAAGAGTATTGATGAATAAACAATGTAGCTAGTCAAAGTCTAAGTTAGCTCTATTAAGAGTATCATGGTGAAAATATATGAGAAGCTATTCAATGGCATTCAAAGATGTTACCAAACACTTCCTTGTTCCACACCTTCAAATCTTTTTTTCAGACATTGTAACTTGAAAACAAGGTCATACATACCCCCTAGAAAAACTTAGAAGACCAACTTTTCCTGACCACCTCCAAGAAGGAATGATGATGTAACCACATGTATTGAAATTTAAAAGACCTAGGGCCATATTGAAATGAATTATTACATTGGATCAAAATAGGCATGTGATCGGAAGGGGATTTTACTAATAGAGAGATTTGAATATTATCAAAGAAGTTAACAAACTTAGTATTAACCAAGCATCTATCTAATTGTATCCAACAATCCAGGAAAATTTTGGCCCAGCATGTGGTAGGTCAATTAGGTCACAAGCACCCAAACAATCCGAGAATTCCGAAGTGCTCCCTAGATGAGGAATAGATCTTCCTTGGTCTTCACTATGTTTTGCCATAGCATTAAAATCACCGCCAATAATTCAAGAGTCGTCCATAGATCTAGAAATATCAATAATAGAACTCCAAATAAAGTTGCCTTCTTATCAAATAATGGTGTCTACCATAAGCTACAGTCAACCAGTCATTAAAGACTTCATTCATCCAGGATCTATATACATACATACACACATACATACACACACACACAGAGAGACACATACATACATTGCCTTAAAGCGAATGAGCAAAAAAGACACGCCTCTCCTAATTATTCTCTGCGCATACACCATTCTGAGAGAGAGAGCAGAGAAACTTCTATGATCATTTTCGTTGTAACATCATTCTGTAATGTTTCTCTGCTAATGCAATACCACGGTTTCCATTCTTCTTGAGTGCATCCATAATCATATACGTATAATAGGGACCTAATAGGTAACATTTTTGTAATTTTAGTTGAAAATCGCAACTTTTATTAATTGAGTATCAATGAATTTGTATTGAGAATCAAGATTATTCTGTTGAGTATTAAAAAATCTAATATTGAGAATCGTGATGTCTACTCCATAGCTTATTAGTGTAGCTGAAAAACTCATTTAATAGTCTCCACATAATAGTGCCCATTTTTTTAATTTTATATGTATTTAAGTACAATGTAAAGCTCATTCCTAGTCAGATCAATCATACATGTAATATATATTTACTACAAATCAACTTATTCATTTAAGAATAATATTGTTATATTGTCATCTAAAATTAACTAGTGGTGTAAAAATACATGTTTATGAGTGCTAGTGTTAAAATTTATATACTATAGGAGCACCTAAAACTTGTAAAATGAATTTGAACTTTCAAAATTAATATCCAAGATCCGCCGCCGGGTACAACCGGTTTGTATATATAATATAACTTGTCTACTATGTAGCACCTAAAAATTAACTATGAATTGAAGGTTTGTCCTGTCTAACGAAATATTTTATATAGGGAGAGGATGAGTACTTTCTTTTTTTGATAAAAATTAACATCATTGATAATACACTTCTTCCTCAAAACCAGGTTCCAGAATAGCCCCCCTAGCCTAACACTTGTATTATGACTCCAAAATAGGGAGAGGGTGAGCACATTTTTATTAA